GCGAAGAAAACGGAAGTGCATAAGAGGTAGAGGATGCAGCCGTACGAAATTACGAATGCTGAAACATAGATTGAAGTACTCCATACCGCTTCGTACAGAGACTTAGGAAACCATGCCATATGTAGGGGAAACTCAGGGAAAGCATGATACAAAAAAAAAAAAAAAAAAAAAAAAAAGGCAGAGAGTGAGGGTGATAAAAATGGGAGGGGGGGTTCTATGTGGGGGAAAAGGAGGATGTGACCGATGGGGAAATTGTTACATAGGGGGTTCGGGTGGGCTTGCCACGTAGTGACTGGGTAACTAGGGAGTCTCCCAATTGCCTGGGTGCGTCTAGCCTTCCCCCCTTCCCCCCGCCGACTGCGATTCGTTATGATCTTTCTTCTGCCTGCTTCCTCCATATATTAATGTTAATGTTGTTTTTTTCTGCTTGCTGGGGATAAGCACCCTGACTGGTGGCCCCCAGAATAGAAGGGGCTTTGTGTGTTGTGGTGTAATTTTTATAACCTTTTGGTTTGGGCTTTTTACAAAATTTAGTAGAGTGAAACGAAAGAGCTGAAAGAGACTTGCAGGCATACAAATACTCTTTGCAAGGCAAAGAGCATACGGATGTCTTTTTACTGGAGCGGAACCAAAGGGCAGAAACGAAAGAATACGAAGAGTTTGAATTTGAATTTTGAAACGAAAGAGTAGAAAAGGTCACCGCTCTGTTCTCTGAGCTCAGTGAATGTGTGTGCAATGTGCATTTGTGTGTTCTATCTTCATAAGAAGAGAAGAGAGTGAAGTGGCCGCCAAAGACAGCAAGAGCGTGAAGATAGAGGAAGAAAGATACACCAAGTACTATCACTCCATTATGCGTGCAGAGTATTGGAATTGGAAAAGGGTCGAATTCCACACTTTAAGAAACGATAGCACAGAATTGAGCGGCAAAAACCTTTTGTTGACGCATTTCGTCTGCGCCGCAAGACAGACTCTTCAGGAGGAAGAGAAAGAGAAAACCCAATTCGAATTTTTTCATGGGGTCATTCCTCGTGCCTTGCCCAATTTATAGCTGCGCTACCCCCCCCTCTATGCTAGGACCGTACACATTGTTCCCATCTGATCGTGGATGACCATTCCTCGTTAGATGCGGTCGATCCGAACGATACGATGCACCTCATGTTTCGAACCAGCTGGAGTAAGAGGCGAAGATACAATGCACCCATCATCAATTACGGAATCAATTCAGAGAGGCCTGCACACACCAACCATACACACACAGAGCCAAACAAGGCACGCTGCTGGTCGAAGGCTTGCACACCAGGAAGAGGATGACGCCGTTCTCAGCCTTTGAAGGTAAGACTCCCGGGCATGGCCGACAAATCACCGAAGCTGCTGCGCTGGAGCCAGCAAAACAGCAGTTACTCGTCCGACAAATCACCGAAGCCGCTGCGCTGGAGCCAGCAACACAGCAGTTACTCGTATGCGCACGTCGTACAGGAAGGCACAGTGTGCAATCAGATGGAGCCGCCTACGCCGAAGGCAGCGCATCAGTACAACCGCCTGTCCTCATTTGTTCTATCGTCATGACGCTCGCATTTTATATCATGCCCGCCGCTGCCCGGGTACATGAAATTGTCGCAAAAAGGTTGAAAAAATTTGTAATTCCAGCACTTCTATCCTGCAGGGCTTTTTTTCACACATGTCGCTCCTCAGTTCTGTGAATCGTCATGACTTAATGTGTTGGTTTGACGCAATTTACTCAATGGCAGGCTGACGATCTGCGGGTAGAGAACGCCACTCTGGTCCGGAAGAACAGCCACGCCACGGAAAAGCTGGCAGACTACCTGGAAGAGAACCAGCGGCTGCAATCGGAAATAGTGGCGCTTCGGCAGGAGCTGGAGAAGCGCAGGGCTGCCCAGTGTTCCAAAGGGGATGTGGAAAGTACCAGTCAGGGTATGACTGCGACGTCGTTGTCTATGGAAGGTACAGCGGCAGGAGTCAGTGAGGAAGTCGGTGAGAGATCTCTCAATATCGATGCGGCGACAAGTGACAGTTGCGAGGGCTCATCTGGTCTGCCGAACACGGATGTCGATGACGAGCAAGATCAACCCCCTGTGAGTGCGAGAAGCGGGGATGGCATGGCATCATCTTGTCGAAGCGGCGATCAAAGCCGATGAGCAGAACGTGCTAAATGGGGTGGATGATGGGGCTGGGGATGCTCCCTAGATGTCCCTTCCTGTTCTGAAAGGCCAGTTGGTTTCTGCACAAGTACCTTTGGTAGGACCATGGTTCAAGCATCAATCTGGATTTTGGTCGAAGTGAAATAAGCACCACAACACGGTCTAAGAACCACTTTGTGTCTCTAATATATGTGTCTTGAGTGTGGTGTCTCTCTCTCTCTCTCACTCTTTCTCACACACACACACAGGGGAGAGAGAGAGAGAGAGAGAGAGAGAGAGAGAGAGAGAGAGAGAGAGAGAGAGAGAGAGAGAGAGAGAGAGAGAGAGAGAGAGAGAATGTACAGGCACATGTCATATCATAGACTAGTGGGGATTCCAATTTGGGAGGAAGAACTGAGATGAATGAGCACACTAATTGTCACTTTGACCTTTTGAGGGCTTACGTTCCATCTTGATGTTGTGGCAATGATGTAGGGGAGAAGAGAAGTGCAGATCTTTTTTTGCACTGGGGATAAGATTGTGCTCTTGTGTCACCGATCAACGGTTTTGCATGGGAGTGAGAGAGTGTTGTACTCTTCTTTCGATGAGCGACGAGCCTGGTGATTAGGCTGCTGACCTTTGAAGGTTCAGCGAATGAGGGTCCTGTGACGCATAAGGGACTTCCTAGCTTGCCCAGTAGTATGTAGTATGTACCTGATATTAGGCTGATCATGTATATTCGGTGTAAGGGCGATGGGTTGGCGTTTGGATGCCACTTCACAAATTTTGGCTTTTGTAGGCTTTTGACGTTCTAACCAGAAGAGAATGAGGCAATGGTGTCCCCTCGGTCAGCCAAACGGAGTTGTCCATGCTCCATCCTCCATCCTCCATTCGTTCCGTCAATGGTGTCCCCTCTATCCTCTCTTCGCACGCTCACGCTTTTCAGTGAAGGAGTTGCTAAAGACCCAACAGAGAGCAGGGAAGATGACTTAGCTCCAGGAAGAGAGCAGCAAGACTCAACAAGGAGCAGTATGGATGATTTAGCTTTAGGGAGAGAGCAGCAATTCTTCTTAGTCTTTCATGGTCTGGATGCCGCCAACAACTGTCAAAGGAAGTGAGCACGTGCATCCACGCAAGAGACAGAGAGAGGGGGTGAGAGGGACGGAAGGTGTGTGTGTGCGTGTGTGTGTGTGTGTGTGTGTGTGTGTGTGTGTGTGTGTGTGTGTGTG